TGCTTGGTAGCCCTCACATCAAGCTCCCACTCCAAGCCATGGTCAGGCTTCTTCCCGGGTGTGGTCCTCGTGTTGGAAATCTCGACTATAGTGTATTCTATAAATTAAAATTATAATTATGATAATTTAAGTGAATATATAAAAAAACAGTTGGTTAATAAAATTTCACCAAAAAAATGAAATTAAATAAACTTTTTTTTAACACATAAAAAAGTCATTTGAGCATATATTTTTACATATAAATGTAACATGTTAAGAAAGGTGAACTTATCCTTTAAAGCCTCATTCACGCAGGCAGCCAGGGGGTGTGGTAAAAAAAAAAAACAGGTGGCTGAGCTGCAGTTTTACCACCCCCTGGCCTACCACCTAAAGTCTAAAATACAGCTTGAGGGGGTTGTTCACATGCTGTGACAAATTTAACATGGCATATTGAGTTGTCAACCAATACCAAATTAAAAAAGAAAAAAGCGCCACTTACAAAAAAACACCAAAGTGTCAGCAGCATATCCCACCCAAAATAAATTTTGGCAACAATAATCCAAATTAAAAGGTATGCGCTAATAACAAACTTATACAAAAGTGTATATCATCATCATCCAAAAAAAATTAGTGTTTTAAATAAATTATAGTGTCCGAACATAAATTAGTGTCCAAAAAAATATATATATCTTCAGTGACTTGAACCAATTGTGAGAAATCCACCACCAAAGGAGATTAAATGAACTCACCAGAGCTAATGGCTGGTCAGATTATAAACCAGCAACAGCGCTTGTGCTCTGGGAGCAATGAACCCGATGTCCAAATAGATATGGTGATGTTTCAGACACTTCCAGATAATAATCACAGCCAAACAACTTTGCAGCCCAAGCTCTTATGATGAACTTCTCCACTCTTTCTCATACCTCCATGAGAGCATGCAGTACACTCAGGGACAAAAAAGAGAACATAATGGTGCAATACGTTTTTTTTTTTCATTTATCTCTTTAATAAAAAGGTATAAGGAAACTCACAAACAAGGTGTCCAACAGACACCAGCTTCAATCGCAAAAAAAGGGTTGAGATACAGTTAACGCTCACCGCAGATCTCTCCCTTACAGCACAGAACAGCAAGGCTCTCTAACGTCCACATCAAGTAGGCTACGCCCAACCGGTTTCGTCACACCGACGTCATCAAGGGGTGGGATATGCTGCTGACATTTTGGTTTTTTTGTAAGTGGCGCTTTTTTCTTTTTTAATTTGGTATTGATTGTAACTTATTCCCATCAGAACCAGTAATAAATATTCAAAATGTGCTTCCACCTATCCACCACGTGAGAAATAATATTGACCGCACTCACCAGATGGAGGTGAGTAATGAGCCTTATAGGATATAATTGATCCTATAACCCCTCCAAAAGAGATCAAATCTTCTTTTTCACCCTGCTTAGGTATATAAATCGTCTCCACTTTATTCCTCCATGGATTCCTCAATGGTGTATAGAGAAAGAAACTACATAGTGTAATACTGCCACTCCATATAAAATATAAAGATAGAATAAGGCCACTCACGTGTTTTAAATATAATTAAAAGCCCTGTTTAATAGCCTAGATGGCTTCAAGATAACCAATTTCCACAATGCAAATATAGGGATCTCACGCTTCTGTAGTATCTGCAGAGGATGAACAGCCTTCCACCACTAAGATGGCCGCTTGAACCGCATAACTCGGCGTGCGTTCCAAACACCGGAAGTGACGTGAGCCAGAATGACGGCGGACTGGAAGTGCGTATTCTTAAAATATACTTCAAATATATTTTTCTTCCATGTGGGAACTACTGATGGGAAAAGGTATTTAGGAGTTTATATTTGCATTTCCATGTTGTGTGTACTGTGGGAGACCAGATATAGTGAGTGCAGAGTCCGGGGAGACCAGATATAGTGAATGCAGGGTCCGGGGAGACCAGATATAGTGAATGCAGGTCCGAGGAGACCGGATATAGTGAATGCAGGTCCGGGGAGACCGGATATAGTGAATGCAGGGTCCGAGGAGACCAGATATAGTGAATGCAGGGTCCGGGGAGACCAGATATAGTGAATGCGGGGTCCTGGGAGACCAGATATAGTGAATGCGGGGTCCGGGGAGACCAGATATAGTGAATGCGGGTCCGGGGAGACCAGATATAGTGAATGCGGGGTCCGGGGAGACCAGATATAGTGAATGCTGGGTCCGGAGAGACCAGATATAGTGAATGCGGGGTCCGGGGAGACCAGATATAGTAAATGCGGGGTCCGGGGAGACCAGATATAGTGAATGCGGGGTCCGGAGAGACCAGATATAGTGAATGCGGGGTCCGGGAGAGACCAGATATAGTGAATGCGGGGTCCGGGGAGACCAGATATAGTGAATGCAGGGTCCGGGGAGACCAGATATAGTGAATGCAGGGTCCTGGGAGACCAGATATAGTGAATGCAGAGTCCGGGGAGACCAGATATAGTGAATTCAGGGTCCGGGGAGACCAGATATAGTGAATGCCGGGGAGACCAGATATAGTGAATGCAGGGTCCGGGGAGACCAGATATAGTGAATGCGGAGTCCGGGGAGACCAGATATAGTGAATGCGGGGTCCGGGGAGACCAGATATAGTGAATGCGGGGTGGGGAGACCAGATATAGTGAATGCGGGGTCCGGGGAGACCAGATATAGTGAATGCGGGGTCCGTGGAGACCAGATATAGTGAATGCGGAGGTCCTGGGAGACCAGATATAGTGAATGCGGGGTCCGTGGAGACCAGATATAGTGAATGCGGGGTCCGTGGGAGACCAGATATAGTGAATGCAGGGGTCCGTGGAGACCAGCTATAGTGAATGCGGGGTCCTGGGAGACCAGATATAGTGAATGCAGGGGCCTGGGAGACCAGATATAGTGAATGCAGGGTCCTGGGGAGACCAGCTATAGTGAATGCAGGGTTTAGTAACACTTTAATTTACCAAAATCTAACATTTCCCTCCCCCAAGACTGACAATGCTGCTGTCCAAAGGTGTCTCTGTTTCTCCTTCATGTAGAATGTAGGCACTCTAATACAGGAGGAGTGCTACTGGCCAAATCACCAGGTGAAAACAGAGGGAAACAAGCCAAACAACAGAAAACTAATGCAGCCACCACATCGAATGACTGGTACACTGAAATATATTGTATTTTGGGTTTGGATTTAAGATCGCTTTAAGCAAGTTTGGCACACAGCACTTGGAATCCTGGCAGCTGCTGTGTAATCTGACCCTGGCTGCCTCTCCCTGATAGACCCTCCAGATTCATCAGAAATAATAGCAGCACAGGGGAGGAAGCAAAGCAGAACCTCACATAGCGTGATACTGTTTTTGTAAAACCGCTTTAATAAAAGTTGCACTTAAAAATATCAGCAATGGCTGTACACACACAGGAAGGTGGTATTAAAGGCAGAAGGTTTTTTCTACCTTAATGCATTCTATAGATATGTGCGGTTTGCTTCGCTCCGAATTGAAATTTAGATGAAATTATAGTTATTTGGACGTTTGGATGTCTCTGAATGACAATAGTAATGAATCTGAAATAACGAAACAAAATCTTCCGAAATTTGAATTTCAAATAGCACAAATTCAAATTTCGAATAGCATAAATTCGAATGTGAATTGAATAGAATAGAAAAATCAAAAAAGAGTAGAATAAAATAGGAAGAATATAACTGTTTCCTGAAATTCAAATTTTAAATAGAATATATTCAAATTTGAATAGAATAGAAAAGAAAAGAATAGAATAAAATAGAATAAAAAAAGAATAAAATAGAAAAAAAATAGAATAGAATAACATAGAATCAAATAAAATAGAATATAACAATCTTCCAAAATTCAAATTTCAAATAGAATAAATTTAAATAGAATAGTTTGGAAAAGAATAGAATAGAATTCCATAGATTAAAATAGAACACAATAGAAAGAATATAACCTTCTGATATTCAAAAATTTTGAATAGAATAAATTAGAATTCGAATAGAAAATAAGAGAATAGAATACAATAGAAAGAACATAACCATCTTCCAAAATTCAAATTTCAAGTAGAATAAATTAGAATTTGAATGCCAATTCGAATACCGAAGTTTCCAAATTCAGTCAAATTGAATTTGAATGAAATTCGAAAAAAAAACAAAACAAATCACAAAAAACAATTATACGAATTTACCGACACAAAATTAATTTAAATAACAAATTGAAACAAAATAAATTTTTTCGTTCTGCACATGTCTAGCATTCTATGCATTAGGGTGAATAACTTTCTGGGTGCAGACCCCCCCTCCCCTATCAGACCCCCTCCCCCCCCACACTTACAATGTCCATTAACAGGAGTGCAGCTCGGGAGCGAGCCTGCTTGAGTGCCCCCATAGCAAGAAGGTTGCTATTGGGGGCACTTGGCGGGGGGGGGGGGGCAGAAGCGCTGGCAGACGACCTCAGAAGAAGTGGATTGGGACTGCCCAGTGCAATATGCTATACAGAGCTGGTAAGTATGAATTTTTTTTTTTTTTTTTTTTTTTTTTTAAACACGAGCCTTTAGTTTTACTTTAACCCCTCGCCTACCAAGCACTTATACCCCCTTCCGGCCCAGGCCAATTTCCAGCTTTCAGCGCTGTCGCACTTTGACAATTGCGTGGTCATGCAACACTGTACCCATATGAAATTGTTATCATTTTTTTGTGACAGACAGAGCTTTATTTTGGTGGTATTTAATCACCTCTGGGTTTATTTTTCACCTTTTTTCTTAAACAAACCAAAAACCACTGAAAATGTTGGAAAAAAAAAAACGTTTTTCTTAGTTTTTGTTATAAAATTTTGTAAATAAGTGATTTTTCTCCTTCACTGATATGCGATAATGAGGCTGCAGTGGTGGGCACTGATAAGCTGCACTGATGGACACTGACAGGTGGCACTGATATGCACTGATGAGGAGGCACTGGTAGGTGGCACTAATGGGCATTGACAGGCATCACTGATGGGCACTGAAAGTCAGCACTGATAGGGCACTGACTGGCACTGATAGGCAGCACTGATACGGCACTGGTGGCACTGACTGGCACTGATGGGTGACACTGAAAGGCAGCTCAGATGGGCACTGATATGTGGCATTGATGTGCACTGGTAGCCACTGATATCTGGCATTGATGTGGCACTGATGGGCACTGGCACAAGGCACTGATGGACACTGACAGGTGGCACTGCTGGGGCTACACTGATCATCAGGGCACACTGATCATCAGTGCCCTGATAATCAGTGTAGATGCCCCCTCCGCGGAAAGCCGATTGCCGGCTCTCCTCTCCTCTGTCAGTGTGACAGCTCGAGAGGAGAGAAATGCCGATAACCGGCATTTCCCTGTTTACATGTGATTAGCTGTGATTGGACACAGCTGATCACATGACCAAACCAACATCTTCGGCTCTTTCTGTGATCGGTGATCCGCTGTGTCCGAGGGACACAGCGCACTGCCGATCGCCGCGTTGTGTGCTCCCTGAGCAGCCCATGCGCGGTGAGAATGGGAGAACGTCATATGATGTCCTCCCAGAACAAGAGAACCATCTTGCGCTCGTCATTGGACTATATGGCGGGCGGAAGGTGGTTAATCTCTGACAGAGCTTTCTGATTGGCTGTTCGCTGTAGCAAAAGCATTGCTCCATGTTCCTGGCTACCTCCCAAGGTCCAGCTATCTCCCCAGGCATTACCTGACTTACCTGACCCCAATGCATTGCATCAATAGTGACTTTCAGAATGGGACATAATAATTTACCTAGAGGGGTGTTTGTCCTGTTTAACCTGTCATACAGCTCACCGCGCTTTCTACGTATACAGTATTAGTATATATATAGGTTCTCATATATTTCACTCAGTAACAGTGCAGCTGCATTTATAGAACCGAGCTACCTTGACTTTCCTGGAGAGGAGATCAGCATGGAGACCCCATACACACCATCTCAAGCCTACATTGATGAGTTTGACCCTATAACCTATTACAGAACCTACTATCACCCCGAAGAAGGATCATTTGTTGGAGAATGGGTTGGTTTTGTATTGCGGAATTTTCATGAAACTTTCACTTCAGGTAAATGAGATTTTTTTTTGTATATAAAGGGTAGGATAGAGTTACCCTAGGTTCAAAGCTAAGCGTTTTCTGCAGCGTTTCGTTTTACAGAACGCAATACAGTCCATTTAACATGATTTCCTATGGGACATGTTCACACCTGTGCGTTTTCACCTGTTGCGTTTTTTTGGAAGCGGTCAGGGACTTTTTGGTAATGCAACAAGTTTTTTTGGTTGTATGGACTTCAATTTAAATGCTACAGAAAAGCATGTATTGCGTTTTTGTTGCTTTTTGCATTTTAAATCTGCCTAGCAACAAGAAAAAGAAAAAAAATGCAAAACACATAAAAAATGCAGCAAAACGAATTGTGTGACCACTTGATCCAAAACTGATTGCCTCTCGGGGCAGAAGGAATTGTTTCCCCTGCAGGCTCAAATTGGACCATGCTTTGCTGGGTTTTTTGCATAGGTGTGAACCTAGTCTTAGGTCCTATTCACACTTTGTGACTTTTTTCAGGAATCTATGCAACAGTAATTTGTAACTATGTGACCACTTGATCCTGAGGGACCAGGCTATTTTTTCGATGATCTGCGTTACTTTAACTGACAATTGCGGGTCATGCAATGCTGAACCCAAATTAAATTTCCCCTGCAGGAGCAAATTGTAGCCATGCTTTGCAGTGGTATTTTTTTGCCTTCCTTTATTTTTTAGAAAGACCGATAATTTTGAAAACAAAACAATATTTTTGATTTTTTGCTATTAAACATGTCCAGTAAAAAAATGTTAAAAATCAAATTTCGTCATAAATTTAGGTCAAAATGTATTCTACAACAACGTGTCTTTGCTAAAAAAAAATCCCAAGTCATGTAAATTAATTGGTTTACGTGAAAGTTATAGCATCTACAAATGGCGGTATAGATACTGGGATTTTTTTTTTTTTTTTTTTTTTTATACAAGTAATGGCAGCGATCAGCGACTTATAGCAGGACTGTGGGTCTGCGGCAGGCATTCTGACACTGGGGGGGAACTGACTAACTGTCACTGACATCCCCAGTGGCACTAATACAGTGATCAGTGCTAATACAAAGCACTGACACTGTATTAATGGCACTGGGCAGGAAGGGGTTAACATCTGGGGCAATTAAAGGGTTAACTGTGTGCTGTTTTTCTATGTGTGCTGTGTGTGTGTGCATTACTGTGTAAGCACACTGCTTTGTATGGCTCTACTGTGCAGAGCCATACAAAGCAGCGTGCTGGTGCTGACAGGGGAGAGATCTGTATTGTTCCTTGGTGATCGCCGGGTACTGATGGGGAATCTCCGGCTGGGACCCAGTGATCGACACCCATAGCCGCCAATGGTGGCATGGGTAGGACGGCACTTGTGTTCCCCCCCCCCCCCTACCTGGAAATACAAAATCACACATATGTGAACTGGCCAAGATTCATACCATCTATGGCCAGCTTAAGGTTCTCTGTTTATTATACAAACCCCAACTGATTACAACTGGGGTTACCACCTCATCCCTTTCAAACCCAAACACATAATAATTACACGGGTTCTGTGGCTAATAATGGTGGTAATTAAACTCACTCGGTGCCTTATCTGCATGAAATTAGCCTCAGAACCCGTGTAATTAATATGTGTTCGGTTTGAAAGGCATGAGGTGGCAACCCTAACTACAACACAGATACAAGTATTCTATTTATTATACACAGTGTTGTCTTGTCTAATCTACACTTCTAAAGGAAAGATCCATTGTATGTTTTTCGTCCTCTAAGGTGGTGTTAAAGGAGACCTTCTAATTGACTTTGGAAGCTGGACCCACAATTTATCAGCTTCTCTCGGCTTGTGAAGCTTTCAACAATATCATCACTTCTGACTTTCTTGAGCAAAACAGAGCACAGCTACAGAAGTGGCTGAGGAAGGATCCCGATGCATTGGACTGGACTCCATTTGTTAAGAGGGTGTGTGAGCTGGAAGGTAATAGGTAAGTTACAAGTGTGTGTGATAGGTGTGACTATGAAAATGTGTGACTATCTGTATGCATCATACCATAATTAGAGTACATAACTGTAAATTTTACTTTACTAAAGCTGCCAGACCTCCACTTCCAGAGATGGGAGTAACTGCAGTAATGTAGAATCCATGTCACCATATTATTGCTATAGAGAATCTTGATACCAGATTCCTAAAGGACAATGCTGTGGCGGCAACTAAACATGCATAAAAACTTTCTGGAAGGAATTAAACTTAGAATCTACATGAAGGTTAAAGTGATAATAAAGGCAATTAAAAAAATAAACATGCCATGCTTACCTGCTCTGTAGTGGTTTTCCACAGAGCAGCCCCAATCCTCCTCTTCTCAGATACCCCACCTGTGCCTTTCTTCTATGTATACACAAATGTTTTCACCATTCATTTCTATTTTAACCATTTCCCACCTGTCCACTGTACATAAATGGCCAAGCAGGACAAGTGTCATTCTGGGAGGATTTGCCCATGGATCCTCCCAGAATTGTGCCTTGTGTGTGTCCCCCCAATGATATGATCCTGTGACCTCTTTGTCCATGGGACACAGCCGATGATCGATCGACTGTGACCAATCACGCTGATCATATGTCCAGTAGTAAACATATCGGCTTTCATTCAAACAGCTATTAAGAACTACTGTGATCTTTGTGATTGGTCACAATGATCACATAGTAGGGACCATTCACAGTGGTCCTGTACCATGTGATATCTGTGGCCAGTCACAGTAGTTCTCAATAACTAAATTAATGTAGCTGAGAACTGTCAGACAACCATCATGGGTGCATAAGCAATCATAGTGTATAAAAAAAATCCCCACCACTTTCCTAGAGTAGTGCAGTGTCAGCTATGGTAACATTGCTCTGTTCTGATAACAGGATGTAAAAAAAGATTGTAAAAAAAAATAATATATATTGTTAAATACTGTCACAAGAGCAAGTGCCTGGGTGGCTGCTCTGATATCTCTGTATGTTATTGGCAATGGCCTTTGTCTCTATTGACCTTCACAGTAGTACAATATCACCAGACCATTGCCACTCTGTGTCCCTAATCACCACCACCACCGCCAATCACCACCAGCTCAGTGTCCCTAATCACCTCCCCACCAGCTCACAGTGTCCCTGATCACTGGCACACCAGTCATATTGTCCCTGATCACCGATGAAACAGTCATATTGTCACAGGAGTTCTTCCTTTATTCAGCCTCCTATACTCCCTGGCCAGTGAATATGGCATTCTTGGTGGCAGCCATGTATCAGTAGGCTAGGCTTGCTTGGCTTATAGGAACTGGGACTGCTATAGGTGACGCTACACTAAGCCATTTTCCCTGACCACTTGTATAGAGGCAACCATTACAGTACATTGGTTTTGATACAATTGGTTTATTTGTGTAATACAAAAGATGCAATGTCTGGTATATAATCAGTCCAGAAAATGGGAAAAGTCTCAGATATGTAGTTTCACTATAATCAGAAGTAGCAGAATGTGTTTTGGGTTTTAATTCTAAGTATGCATTGTGTGAGAAATATCCTATTAAATTGACAACTTTGTGTAAAACAATTTTCATTTTCTTTTTGCATTTTCCAAAAACTTGTGGCAAAACAATGAAGTCTTCAAAAGACTCACCACGCATCTTAGATAGTACCTTGGGGAGGTTGCTTTCCAAAATGCGGTCATTTTGTGGGTGTTGTTTGCACTGTTCTGGTGCTCAAGGGCCTCCAAAAATGTGATAAGTAGTCATAAAATTTGATGCACAATTTATGCCACTTTAAGCATATGAAGATCTTTGGGCCCCTCTATGTGAATAGGGCCTGTGAAAAAAGTCTCACACATGCAGGGTGGATTTGATTTAAATCAAACTGATTTAAAGCACTGTTTAAATCACAATTTAAATCACTAGTCAGTAAGGCTTGATTTAAATCCTAGTTTTCTACATAAAGACTAATTCTTGCTGGTATAACTTTAATATGCAAGTAGATGAAGATTTTGAGAACAACAACTTTTCATATTAGTTTTTTTATCCCCAGTTTAATAGGTTAATCATTCATATTTGGACAACTTTTCTGTTGTACTTAGGAAGGAGAAAAATAATCATTACCTTAATAATAATAATTTAAATAGATTTATTCAACTGAAACAATAACATTCCAGCATATGTGATTTGCTTAAACATCCATGTTTGTTAACTAATTTGGCTAAACAAAATATATATATTTTAAGAAACTTAGACTGTCAGCCCCTTCCTCCTCACACTTAGTTTCACTTTCTTCTTGTGCAGATCTATTCCACTCCAAACAATCAGAAAAATATTGTTTCTATTCTATTCACTGAACTTCTTGAAACTTAGTACTGAAGGGGTTGATTCTGTATTCATAGGTTTGTAGAAGTTAGGATGAAGGTCTTTTTCTTAACTCTGTTCATGTTATAACATTTTTGCTGTGAAGAAGAGGCATGTGATCTCCGCTGAGTCAAATTCAGTTTTGAGAACTGCAAAAGTAAACCAAGCATCTGTGATAATATCTTGTAGGCAGAGAAACTGCCCAATATTCTTACAGAAACCTCTGGAAGAGCATGACATTGTGAATGGATTAATGGAATTTATTTACCAAACAAATTAAACATATACAGCTTTATTCTACATAATTAAAAAACTAATCTTTATTTCATGATGGAATAAACTTTGGATGGTAATATATTTTCCTCAAAAAGCATTTTATTTAAAAAAAATCCAATTTAAATCAAACAAATCCGATTTAAATAAAAAAAAAATCATTGATTTTTATCTACCCTGCACACATGTGATATCCCCATACTCAGGTGGAGTAGCAGAATTTGTCTTGAGGTGTAATTCTAAGTTTGCCTATGATGTGTATTAGAAAATATCTTATTAACCACTTGCCTACCAGGCACTTATACCCCCTTCCTTACCAGGCCAATTTTCAGCTTTCAGCGCTGCCGCACTTTGATTGACAATTGCGCGGTCATGCAACATTGTACCCATATGAAATTTTGATCATTTTTTTCTCACAAATAGAGCTTTCTTTTGGTGGTATTTAATCGCCACTGGGCGCTTTACTTTTTGCGCTATAAATTAAAAAAAGTGCAAAAAATTTGAAAAAAAAAAAAAGTTTATTTGTTTCTTTTATAAAATTTTTCAAACAGGTATTTTTTCTCCTTCACTGATTTGCGTTGATGAGGCGGCACTGATGGGCACTGATAGGCGGCACTGATGGGCACTGATAGGCAGCACTAAAGGGCACTGATAGGCAGTACTAATGAGGTGGCACGGATAGGCGGCACTGATAGACAGCACTAATTAGGGGTCATGGATAGGCGGCACTGATATGCAGCACTGATAGGCGGCACTGATAGGTGACACTGATGATGGGTACTGATAGACGGCACTGACTGGCATCACTTCTGGGCACTGACTGGCGGCACTGACTGGCACAACCCCTGGGGCACTGACTGGTGGCACTGACTGGCAGCACTGCTGGGCTGCACTGGTGGGTGGCACTGGTGGGCAGCACTGGTGGGTGGGCACAGGTGTGTGGCACTGGTGGGCACAGGTGGGTGGGCACAGGTGGGTGGCACTGCTGGGCACATGTAGGTGGCACTTCTGGGCACAGGTAGGTGGCACTGCAGAGTGGCACAGGTGGGGGCACTGCTGGGCACAGGTGGGGAAACTGCTGGGCACAGGTGGGGGCACTGCTGGGAACGGGTGGGCGGGGCTAGTGGGCGCACTGCTGGGCGGAACTTGCGGGTGTCACTGCTGGGCACCGATCATCAGGGCACTGATCATCAGTGCCCTGATGATCGGTGCCGATCCCCGCTCTGACAACTGCCGGTTCTCGGCAGTACTTTCCTCACAATCTGACAGCGTGAGGAAAGTGCAGCCGAGAACCGGCACTTGCATTTCCCTGTGATCAGCGTGTCATTGGACACCGCTGATCACGTGGTAAAAGGCCGGTGGGATCGGCCTTTCACCACATCACGTGATCAGCTGTGTCCGTAGGACACAGCGATCACGGAGATCGCGGGGTGCGCGCCCCCTGGGGCGCGCAGGAGAGCGCGTTCTGGGAGGACGTCATATGACGTCCACTCAGAACTGGCCGGCCGCGGTGCAGCCGTCATTCGGCTATGCGCGGTCGGCAAGAAGTTAATTGAGAAATTCATGTGAAAAAATATATTTTATTTTCCTTCCTAATTTTCCAAAAACTGTGAAAAATTACATTTCAAAAGCCTCGTTATGCCTTTCAGAGAATACACTGGAGTGTTTGCTTTCCAAAATGTCTTTATTTTGTGGGTGTTTCCACTGTTTTGGTGCTCCAAGCCTCTAAAAATGTGATGGTCATTCAATTAGATGCATAGTTTATGCTCTTTGAAAGCCAAAAGGTGCTCCTTGGATTTTGGGCCCCACCATGCATCTAGGCTGTGAAAAAGTCTCACACATGTGGTATCCCCATACTGAGGAAACATAGCAGAATGTGTTTTGGGGTGTAATTATAAGTATTTCTATGCTTTGTGTGATAAATAACTTGTAGGCTCTATAAGTTTCTCACAGACTAAATAATATACACTGATTAGGGTTATTTTACCAAAGAAATGTATCAGAATACATTTTGATCTAAAAGAGAACTGTGTTTTCTTTCCAAATATTCTGGAAAACTTTCTGGAAAATACTATATATCTTCCCTGTGTGGGGTAAAGATGCATTTGTATGCTTTAATCTCCACCAAGTAACAGGCCTCTTGTTATATACTATAAAATTCACTTAATATTGTTATGATTATTTACAGTAGGTATGTATAATAGATTTGATGGGATGCTCTGTAGTAGTTACACAAGCTGGATGATGTTGGCTTTAAATGTTTGCAGTCATAATATTGATAAAAAATAATCTATAGTGTGTTCTTTCAGTGACAGTGAGAGCTGTAAGAGAAAGGAAGAGAAACTGAGAAGAACAGTGACAAAAGTTCTGAAATGTGATGCTCTGAAGAAGAAGCCATATGACCCGGTGGAGATGCCTCAAGCTGATTGCCTGATTAGTTGCCTCTGCTTAGAAGCACCCTGCAAAGATGTAGAATCCTTCACCCATGTTTTGAGGAATTTTAAGGACCTCATTAAACCAGGAGGTCACATAATAATTCAGAGTGTGCTGAACTCTTCCTACTATTATGTTGGCCAAAAAAAGTTTTTTTCCCTGGCCATTACTAAGGAAGAACTTGAAAAGGCATTTAAGGAGGCTGGCTATGAAATAGTGAAACTAAAGGTCATTCCATTAATTGAAAAGTCAAGGTTGAACATCTGTGGTCAGGATGGCTATTACTTTCTCCATGCCCGTAAGCCATGTTCATAGGGCAAATGACCTTATAAAGTATACAGTACATACCCAGGTTCTAATCAGCAATTTCTCCTGTTGCTTTCCAAATGTATTGTACAGCAAAGCTGAAGAGACATCATAGATCAATTAATTGCTATTCCAAGTTTAAATGTATTAAAAAAAAACCTTTTTAATTCATAATTATTGGTAAAAAAAATAATGAAAAGCATTAATACCACTTCAAGTTGGCCCACACTTGCCTGCAATCCACAGCTAGGTGCCTGTCCAGCTCACCACTGAGCAATATATATCAACCTAACAATTTATGACAACATGAGCCAGAATTAGATGCAAACTACATACGGGGCAGCAAGATCTCTCCTGCCTTTCATGCTGAATAGTGCTGCATATTATTAACTCATACAGTTAGCATTTCAACATCTAACAGTATCCACATCTCCAAATAGTTACACAAATTGACCTTAATATATTGGTATTTTACGGGATGCCAGAATAAAGCCAGGTACACACAAACTGAAATTTGATCTGTATGTGGCCCTCCCTGTTCCACAACCTGCATTCAATCAGCCACTGGCAGCAGCACTGATCAGTGTATTCTGCTAGTAGAGGAGTGCCCACTGTCCCAATACAATAGCACAGCGGCGGAGATTCCTGCATCCACCTTGCTTGTGTGGATGCAGGTATTTGTTAGGTTTTTTTGTTCAGCCACTGGTTGTACCCAGCTTTATTCATGTACTATTTCTAAAAGAATGTTTTTATGCTTATATTGAAAGTAAAAGATAAAATTGTACTTCATAATAAAAAGTATCAACAGATTTCACTGGTTATGTACATCGTTTGCGTTGTGTTTTTTATCCAGTATTGCCATGATTTATGCAAGTACAGTTGTGTTCAAAATAATAGCAGTCAGCCATCACTAACCGGATCAATCACTGTTTTTGGTAGAAATGATATTTCTACATGGCAAATAATTTACTAGCAGATGTAGTAGAGTAATAGAAATCCAACAGACCCAACAGTCATGACATGCATGCTGCTGATTCTGTGTAATTGAATCACTAATTGAAAGGGGCATGTTCAAAATAATAGCAGCAGTGTGGAGTTCTATTAGTGAGGTCATTCATTCTTTGAAAAACAGGTGGCAATTATTGCCCTTATTTAAGGAAGGAAGGCAGAAAATGTTGTACATGCTGGTTACAGTGCATTTCTCTCTGAAATTCTGAGGAAAATGGGTCGCTCCAGACATTGTTCAGAAGAACAGCGTACCTTGATTAAAAAGTTGATTGGAGAGGAGAAAACATATAAAGAAGTGCAGAAAATGATAGGTTGCTCAGCTAAAATGATCGCAAATGCTTTAAAATGGCAACCAAAACCTGAAAGATGTGGAAGAAAGCGAAAAAAAACTACCATTCGAATGGATAGAAGAATAGCCAAAATGGCAAGGACTCAGTAAACAATCAACTCCAGGAAGATGAAAGAAGGTGTAAAGTTCCCTGTGAGGACTGTTACAATTAGAAGACGCCTATGTGAAGCCAAGCTATCTGCAAGAAGCCCCCGCAAAGTCCCACTGTTGAAAAAAAGACATGTGCTGAAGAGGTTACAATTTGCCAAAGAGCACATTGACTGGCCTAAAGAGAAATGGCACAACATTTTGTGGACTGATGAAAGTAAGATTGTTGTTTTTGGGTCTAGTGGCCGGAGACAGTTTGTCAGACGACCCCCAAACACTGAATTCAAGCCACAGTACACTGTGAAGACAGTGAAGCATGGTGGTGCAAGCATCATGATATGGGGATGTTTCTCATACTACGGTGTTGGGCCTATTTATCGCATACCAGGGATCATGGATCAGTTTGAACACATCAGAATACTTGAAGAGGTCATGCTGCCTTATGCTGAAGAGGAAATGCCCTTGAAATGGGTGTTCCAACAAGACAAAGACCCCAAACACATCAGTAAACCTGCAACATCTTGGTTCCAGACCAACAAGATTGACGTTATGGAGTGGCCAGCCCAATCCCCGGATCTTAATCCAATAGAAAACTTATGGGGTGACATCAAAAATGCAGTTTCTGAGGCAAAACCAAGAAATAGAGAAGAACTGTGGAATGTAGTCCAATCATCCTGGGCTGGAATACCTGACCACAGGGGCCACAAGTTGGCTGACTCCATGCAACACAGATGTACAGCAGTTCTCAGAAACAGTGCAACTACAACCAAATATTCATTAAGTGATTCAAAGGAAAGCAAAATCTTCAAACATTTTCAGTTTATATAGTGAATGTTTGAGTTTGTAAAGAAGAATACAAACACTGCTATTTTTTTGAACAGTCTAATATTTACTTTTCTTCAATTTTTTTAGAGGAACAACACAAATTTGATCTATTTTTCTTCATGTTTTGATTTGCAATAGAATGTGTCGTGTTCCCAATGCATTTGTGTGTATGGAAATAAAAGCTATTAGAAGGATTTTGAGCTTTATTCACTTTTTTCAACACACTGCTATTATTTTGAACACAACTGTATATGCAGATGAATATACCATCTGCTCTATCTGTACATACAGATGAATCCTGACCAATGGTTGTTGTTGCTGCTTTTAGAAATGGCATATAAAACATGGGAAACCATAGCTTTAGTAATTGTATACACTTGTGTCCCAAAATTTTAATAATTTAATTATTTGGGAAACGTGGGATTGATGGTCAGCATAAAAATAGGAATGTGTGTTTTTCTATTGTTTATGTATATTAAGCCTTGCTGGTTTCTATACAGCGCTATGTCTCAGTATTTTTATTATCTTCCATTGAGGGACACAGGAAAGTAGTAATTCTTAGACACTTGGGTTATACTGCTGCCTTTCAGAGATTTGGACACTGGAAAAAAAAAAATTAAGGCTACCCTCAAATAATCCCTCTTCCAACTTTCATGCCTCAGTTTTTTGCTATTGTCCTAGGATTTGGCACGCCCTTTCCCCAGCTCTGAGATAAACTCTAGCTACAGTCAGTTCCATAAATATTGGGACATCGACACAATTCTAATATTTTTGTCTCTATACACCACCACAACGGATTTGAAATGAAACGAACAAGATGTGCTTTAACTGCAGACTGTCATCTTTAATTTAGGGGTATTTACATCCAAATCAGGGAACGGTGTAGGAATTACAACAGTTTGCATATGTGCCTCCCACTTGTTAAGAGACCAAAAGTAATGGGACAATTGGCTTCTCAGCTGTTCCATGGCCAGGCGTGTGTTATTCCCTCATTATCCCAATTACAATGAGCAGATAAAAGGTCCAGAGTTCATTTCAAGTGTGCTATTTGCATTTGGAATCTGTTGCTGTCAACTCTCAAGATGAGATCCAAAGAGCTGTCACTATCAGTGAAGCAAGCCATAATTAGGCTGAAAAAAAAAACAAAACAAACCCATCAGAGGGATAGCAAAAACATTAGGCGTGGCCAAAACAACTGTTTGGAACATTCTTAAAAAGAAGGAATGCTCCGGTGAGCTCAGCAACACCAAAAGACCCGGAAGATCACGGAAAACTGTGGTGGATGACCAAAGAATTATTTTCCTAGTGAAGAAAACACCCTTCACAACAGTTGGCCTGATCAAGAACACTCTCCAGGAGGTAGGTGTATGTGTATCAAAGTCAACAATCAACAGAAGACTTCACCAGAGTGAATACAGAGGGTTCACCACAAGATGGAAACCATTGGCGAGCCTCAAAAACAGGAAGGCCAGATTAGAGTTTGCCAAACGACATCTAAAAAAGCCTTCACAGTTCTGGAACAACATCCTATGGACAGATGAGACCAAGATGAACTTGTACCAGAGTGATGGGAAGAGAAGAGTATGGAGAAGGAAAGGAACTGTTCATGATCCTAAGCATACCACCTCATCAGTGAAGCATGGTGGTGGTAGTGTCATGGTGTGGGCATGTATGGCTGCCAATGGAACTGGTTCTCTTGTATTTATTGATGTGACTGCTGACAAAAGCAGCCGGATGAATTCTGAAGTGTTTCGGGCAATATTATCTGCTCATATTCAGCCAAATGCTTCAGAACTCATTGGACGCCGCTTCACAGTGCAGATGGACAGTGACCCAAAGCATACTGCAAAAGCGACAAAAAGAGTTTAAGGGAAAGAAGTGGAATGTTATGCAATGGCCAAGTCCATCACCTGACCTGAATCCAATTGAGCAGGCATTTCACTTGCTGAAGACAAAACTGAAGGGAAAATGCCCCAAGAACAAGCAGGATCTGAAGACAGTTACAGTAGAGGCCTGGCAGAGCATCACCAGGGATGAAACCCAGCGTCTGGTGATGTCTATGTGTTTCAGACTTCAGGCTGCAATTGACTGCAAAGGATTTGCAACCAAGTATTAAAAAGTGAAAGTTTGGTTTATGATTATTAATCTGTCCCATTACTTTTGGTCCCTTAACAAGTGGGGGGCACATATGCAAACTGTTGGAAGGGGCTGATAAATGTGACATTTTTACCTGGATCCTTCCCCCACTCTCCATCCCGAAGGATCCAATTGTGTGCTTTCAGCTGCCGGAGGAAAGGAGAGGAGGAAGCGGCAGCACTGTGGGTGTGGGGGCACACTGGGTGACGGGGGGAAGTAGGGGAATTGGTATGGTGGTATGGCTCTTACCAAGGGTCCCCATCAGTGTCGCCACCTTACAACAGGGTCCCCATCGGAGTCCCCGTAATTCCTATACCGTTCACCTGATTTGGATGTAAATACCCTCAAATTAAAGCTGACAGTCTGCAGTTAATCACATCTTGTTCAGTTTATTTCAAATCCATTGTGGTGGTGTATAGAGCCAAAAACGTTAGAATTGTGTCGATGTCCCAATATTTATGGACATGACTGTATATGTTGTAAATTCACATCAGTCCCTAACCCTCAAGGGGCGTACAATCTAAGGTCATTAACTTACATTCATACATATACTAGGGCCAATTTTGACAGGATCCAATTAACCTACCAGTGTGTCTTTAGCCTG